ACATACATACATACATATACACACACACACATATATATATATATATATATATATACATATATATATATGTGCCATACTATACATATATATATATATATATATGTACCATACCTTACCATGCTATATATATATTTAGCAAAAGTTGCATACATTTTTAACTGAATAAATGTCTTCAGTGTATCACCAAAATACTATTTATATATAACATTGTGAAATAATCGCCAGGAATGAACTGTCTTTAGTATTCACACACTCTTTATTGACATTGGTTAATCCTTCCAATTTCTAGCGTTGCTACGAGAGTCCAGTAAATTTGAAATTTCCGAGCCGAGCCCTTGTTTCGCCGGGTTCGCGAATGCGACCGGTGTACTTGGACTCGACACCTGTCCTAACTTACTTATGAACAGGTCCGTTTAATCTCACTCTCAAATCAAAATAGAAATTGGAGAGGGCTGGTTATAGTCGACGATGCTGACTTCCATAGTAGCGATACTTGGGTGTGATAGATATAGCCTGAGTTGATCATTGCCTCAACACGAGTCTTGGAGACGACTGTATACGAAATGCCTTGGCCTTTTCTTGAAGGGCATAGATCTCACACACTGCAACTTTAGCGCAACTAGAATCTTTGTTAGCATTAGACTCCGTCGACAAGTAGTTTTGCCAAAATATAATGAGGTCTGTATCCTCAAGCGTCGGTATCCCGTCCGTGCTAGATAAATCCAAGGTCCACCTTTGGATCCAGAGAGAAGGTCTCTAAACATACAAAGCGATACTCTCCTCATTGTAAAGTCGTCGGCAATCGACTGTCGTTGATGCTCATCCCTACAAGCCATACCAGCGATTTCAACCATTTTAATAAATTGCGATATAGTCGTCAATAACTTCGGACCTGGGAGTGACGGCCATTGTTCTTCCGGCGAGCCTGGCCCAGTTTGTGCTAGTTGTTGTCCATATTTCAATTTGTATTCTGTCTGTTGTTGTTGATATTGAATACAGGTTGTGAAAGCGTGCACATTATATAGCATTCGAATGCATACTCTTTCTAGTTCCCTGCAAATATAACTGTGAACGTTTTCTCAATACTGACTACTACCAGAGCCTTCTACTGATAAACCCTAAACCCTAAAACCGCACAGACCAGTTAAAATGACAATTATAACCCAAACCATCGATACTTTGATACATTGAATGACCACTGACTCCACAACTAGATACAAAGAAAAGACTCGTGGCGACTTCACTAATATACGGAATCGCGACGAGGATCGATAGATAACCTTCTAGAGAGCATATCCGGCGCGCACTGTCTCTCAGAAACTGTCGAACTTAAACAGACCGAGAGAGTTTGACTGTTTGTCCCGTATGCGCCTATTAAGCACCGTATGCGCATGGTCCCATGTGCAGGTGTTTGTATGCGCTCACGGTATATACATAGTACTGCTTTTATGGGACAACTAATTTCGATTTCACAGTTTAGTGTTGAGTTAGGCAGTGCATGCTAAGTATTGATGAACTCGTTGACTTTGGCGCATGTATTCTTATCCGTCTGAGCTGCCCCGTATATTTGAAGACGATCACGAAGAGCGTAGGGGTGACATGAGAATGATCTCATACAGATACTGCCGTTTGTTATTTTGTGTCAACCACACTCCAATATATGTAACTTGCACAGACGATGTAAACAGCACAACAGCATACTGATGTGTGTGTTGGATTCGCAAGTATGCAAAATGCAAAATGCATCGAAGTTTCGCGATGATATGATACCATCTCATTTGTCTTTTGAAGGTCTTCGTAGCCACTGTAATTTAAACTGTTCTTATACTTTTACACCCGCACTCACGCGTGGGTGTATTAGAGCAATGGAGTAGCCTCCACATTATGATGATACTGCTGTTCTCATTCGCGAAAGTATTTCGTCACACGTACGCTGGTGAAAGGCCCCCCCCCATACTCAGATAGACCACACTCTACTAATCAGGCAGAAACCCTAAAACTGTACTCGTAGATGACTAAACACACGGCGCGTACTGAGACCACAGCTGTGAGTGGGAATATCTCTTGCCAAGGAGCTATTCAAAAGCGCAGCCCAATCCCGCAACACGAGTGTGTCAATTACACGGCATAGCCCCATCAGTCGAGCAACGTGAACAGTTTGCGCGGGAACGTTTCCGTTATACGGCACGTGATACCTGGTGACTGCGTAGGGAGCATTGTACAATGGTCATGAGTCATGATAAAGGTTTTTAGGGTTGCACAACCCGTCAGTCTCTATGCCGAAGTAGTCGTGCAGAATGTCAAGAGATTTAGCCATTACTACATCTCAGTGTCGTTCAGATCGGACCAGCTCGAAAATCCGAACCATGAGTGTATGGTATACCGGTTTCCATGATAAAAATGTTTGGTTTGTATGCTTCGACTACAATGCCCACAGATAGTGTAGCTCTTACGTACACGTGTAATGCAAATGATGTTCGTACACGTGTAGAACAAATGATGTACATACACGTGTTAATGAGCCACGCAATACTACAACGATGTACACATGGCGCATATGAGTGACAAGATCGATACCCGGCACAGACACTACACACGGTACTTTTACGAGAAATACAGAATCCATGGGTCACATAGACGACAAGGATTTAGAGATACTATGAATATGTGTCAACAAGGGCCAACTGATAGTCTTGCGAGACTCAGACAGGTGTCGCGTATCTCACGTACGGCCCTTTGTCGAGCTTACTACCCACACACTACACAACAGTGTCGATTGCAGGTTAACACTACACAGCAGGTTGAGTGGGCATCTCACAAGGGCGTAGAAGCAACGGTCAGTGCACGGCCAAGGACGGATTAAGGTCCTTCAATGCAAATGCAGATACATATGGCTTGTGTACACAGACGAGATATGGATGGCGTGTGCTATGTTATGTCCATGGCCCCCATAGAACGAGATGTGTATAAGGCCACTGTGACATAAGAGCACATAGTAATATGCTACGTAGTAGAACGCTAGGTCTATCCAATACTAGGCTAAAGCTTGAATTCCGATATCAGCAAGGCTCACGTGTTACTACTCTATATCTACTGTACATTGGTATGGCATTCGACGTACCTGCAGAGTGTAGGTTCGTTTCAAGCCACCCTCGGGGTTACGGCCCACTTTCAGCAGATGGAAGAACGGCAGCAGATTCAGATGACGGAAGAGCTGACCAAGACCAATCTGCGGCAAAAGGGAAAAGTGAGAAAAAGAAACACAAAGTGAACACGCCACTCGGATTGAAAATAAAGAGTCTGTATGAGTGCAACTACTACACCTATTACAAAGCTGAGCGTCGTTTAGACTGAACGAGGAGGCGTTAAATGCAATACAAACAAGCAATCAAGGTTTAGTATATACCACACAGATGAGTAACAGAGATCACTAAGACATCAGACTACCTGGAAGGGGAAGATGGGTAACGTCCCAACAACATACATTCCCATTTAAAATACCGTGAGTACCAGATATGAACCCCGAACTTGCGAACGCCTGCACACACACCATAACTGAGCACATACTCGATAAGCACTACACCAGCAGTGATATACCCAGCCTTCAACGACGGCAATTGCCTGTGCGGCTTTTCATCTTCCGCCGAGTCATATGGCAAGCAATGTACACTGCATATAAACATCGTATTGCACAGCGTCTGCGTTTATATGCAACAGAAGAGCTCCTTACTTCGAACACACTCGCGCAACCACTGCGAACTACAGCATTCACATGTATACACATTCTGGCCCAACCAACACAAAGAGCCGTCAAGTAGCACACCAACATCCGTATCCAATATGCACACCCACACATACTTCCTGTTTCCCCAATTACGCACACCCACACATTCGTCACCCACACCTGCTGCCTGTACCCCGTCATAATTAATGAAACCCTCCTTCCGTAGAGCCTTCCGCTGTCGACACAGCTACAGCCACACACACACTTTGCCGCACTCGCACACACAAACAGCCTCGCGATATGCAATCCTTCTGCATTGCCACAGGCACACACACACATACGCGATTTATCTCTACGAGGTCAACGTACTCCTTTCTGTCCAGATGGATCTCACTGGTAGCGATGCAGAACACTTGGTCAAAGATCAGCAACTCAACCTCACGGTCATACCACCCTTGGTCGGTGCGGGGGCGGTTGTGCCTGATCTTCACAGTCACCTCTGCGTTGTAGTAAGAGCTGTACAGAATGGGCGAAGGGTGAATGGGTTAGCCAAGTACAGCGGAGGTCCTTTCTGTGTACATCATTGTCCGAGATCCTCTAAGACCACGGGCGTTCATTCTCAAATGTGCCGGCTTCTATTCCAGCGTTGAGCATTTCGAATATGTCAACGGCACTACACATGTAGTCTTAGACCTCTATGCTCAACAGCCAGGTTCATAACACAACTCGCTTCTGGAAACAAAGTCGACCTGCAATTGCGGTGTAACGACATACCATTGACGCTACAGTCACATACAACAGCCGATTCCCAAACATAGTATATATATATATATAAATACTTCAATCCCACATATGATATATAAATACTTTAAACCCTACACTTGATATAGGTTTAAATACTTTAACTCCACACATGATATATGCCTATTTAATTTAATCCTACACATGATCTATGTTGAAGTACTTTAATCTCACACAGGATATATGTTTAAATACCTCAGTCCCACGTATGTTTTACTTCATTCCTCAGGCGATGCCAAGAGCATCAAGCTCTACATTCTATACTACAAGTAGAGCAACACAAGCATGCGCCACAAAATCTGCTCGAGCATCCACTACACAACTCCCGTCTAACACCTCATTCGCCTTACCCACAACTTACATTGCATCTATCACACTTGTATCCACATTTACAACTTACATTACATCTATCGTACTTGTGAACCACACTTACAACTTACAACCACACCTGATAATCCTCTGCAGTGTACCGTTGGCAGTCAGTACAATCCTCTCCAGTCCTGTGAACTGGCCAGGTAATTCAGTGAATGTCGTACGCCATCCCATGAGATCACCCAGATGCGGAGCTTCTTTCAGTGCAGTTGCTGTGGCATTCGCTGGTGGTGTGTGCAATGGTGTGCTCTCCATGCGATACTCTGCAGACTGGTCTCCGTTTGTGGATGTAGTGGTGTCTGCATCGTTTTCTGTATGACTGTCATCGCTAGTGGCAGTGGTAGTGTCGTTGTTGTTTGTACCGTTGGTGTTGCTGTTAGAATTCATATCGTTGTGCTCGGGCGAGCTTCGACTACATTGGGTCATGTCGGCTGGTTAATATAATTCAATGTCAGTGAGCGATTGAGAGTGGAATGAAAGAGGAAGCTACAGAGTCCCTGTTGGCATATAACCGTGTATAGCAAGTTTTAAATGCGATCACAACAATATATACACAATCTGTAACTATGCATATGTAAACACATCAGGATGGTTTTAAATACATATATACACGTATGTACAAAACAAATGCATCGGGGAAACGAGGAGGTGAACCGAGAACGGATGTCGGACCACATTGCAAATAAATAACAAATCAATAGAGACAGGGTAAATAACCCAAGACCCAAAGGGGACACAAGACCAAAGTATATGTACCGAACATCATCTGTTGGCTAGCCTAAGACCCAACCAAATGTTCCACTCTATAGATGTCAGCGATTAGAAAGTTGCTATGGGTATTGGGTTGGTCTTTGGTGTCACTGCCAACTGTCACGATAATGGAAATGAACGAACGCATAAGAGGCAAGGCGAGTTACAGTGATAAGAGAGCACAAGCTATACTTCCGATAAATATATGTATCTAAGCTTCACCACACAGTGTGACACTCATTCTGTTACTGTATCATATAAACATTCTGAAGAACATACCCCCACACACGTATAACGTGCAAAAAAAATGTCGACCACTGATGTCTTCGCATTGGCTGACGAGGCGTTTGAGCGCGATGTTGATAGCGAAGACACTCAGTTGCCAGACGAGATCAAGCACGTGCTGCAGTTGGACCGTGGAGGCACACCTGAGGCCAAAATTAAGCTAAAAAAGGTGTGTAGACGTCTTCACATTATATATATATACACAAG